TTAAAAAGTTGGTTTTTTGTGTGACATAATTTGCAAATGACTCCTTAGAGTAATGTCTAAACTTACTTTTTAATGTCAAGTAAACAAACCAAAAAGTCTTTTCTTACCAAAATTTTTGCTATAAACTTTGCTGTTTACGAAGATAACTGTTTTGTCAGTATTATTTCATTTAAATATACTAAAACCTTTAGTTTCGATTTTAAAGTTAGATTAAGTTAGATTTTAAAATCAAAAGAACCTTTCTCTTTTTATATTTTTTTCTTGAGTGTATTCCCCATCATTTCATATATTATATTACTTTTATTTGTATGTTTTTTTGTCAAACTAAAATTTAATTTTTGGAGTTTGGGAAAGTTGACGATAAACATACATGAAATCTTCAAAAAAAATTTACAATAAAAGATATGGGATCTTTATCATTATCATTGGTATTTATAATTTTCGTCATTTAAAACCAGTATTTTTTAGTTTATTTCTGCATAAGTGTCATCCGTTATATATATGTAGTAGCTTTAGTAGTTTATACATAATACTTTAACTAAGCCTTGGCGTCGCATGTTTTTTTTAATTTAGTAACAAAAATAAATTCAAGAATATCTTGAAGAAAATTGATTAAATAAAAAAAATCTCGATGTATATGAAAAAAAAAGCAATTTAGTTTATGGTCCAAATCAAAGTGCAATATAATATAAAACCAATAAATTCAGAAGATATGCAGCAGTTATAAAATATGCAGCAAAATATTCCTCTTAATATTCCATATGAAGAATAACTTAAAGTTGTTCTTCATATGGAATGTGTTAAACTGTGATCCTTTGAACACTACTGGTCTAAGAACAGTCTTGTGTAAAATAATTGGACTTCTCGATCATTTGAATAATACAATGGATAGTATCTACTGTCCTAATAAAAACATTTTAATCGATGAACCAATGATGCTTGAATGAAGGGACGCCTTTTATTCAGACAATATGTGAAAAATAAAAGACAAAAGTATGATATCAAGTTTTTATTTGCATTTAAATTAGGCTCATCATGCACAAATATTATTTGAAATACGTTAGTACGACTAAACTACAAGTAAACTTGTAGGCAACTACGAGTAAACTTGTAAACAACTACGAATAAACTTGTAAACATCTACGAGTAAACTCGTAGTTGACAAGTAAATGACATTGATTTACTACGAGTGTACTCGAAGTTGGCAGCAAACAGGTTAAAGACCACAGTTGTTTTAAAATTTTTAAACTTTTTTAAAACTATTAACGCATGCTTATCTAAACATAGCACCTTTTTTTAATATCGAAATAACCGTGTTATAGAACTTAAGAAAAGTTTATACTCCGTTAAAAAGTTTATACTCCGTTAAATTCAGCAAAAATATCATGTACACCTCTGGTTTTTTGCATGAAAGTAAACTTATAATTGAATTAAATTTCACCATAACTTTTTTAAAACTTTTTTAAATTAAAAAAAAAAAAATTATTTATTTTATCCCTTCTATTTTAAATCACCTAATTATCTTATTAATCTTAGAAGTCACTTGAACTTATAAATTTAATACATGACATGAAATTGTTAAAATACATCAGAAGTTCTGTTTACCATTACATCATAACTATTGTTTAATCATACCAAATTTTATTACTCTAATTCTAAAATAAAAGTAACAGTAAATTTTTGATGAAAATGGTAGCCTTTGTGATAATGATATAAACACCGGTTATTTAAATAAAAACAATTAGAAAGTAAACATTATATAATTTCAGAATGCGCTCTAGATTATACTAGCTTTGTGCTGGTATAATCAAGAGTGAACTTACGGATCAATTTTCTCATATTTTTAGTTTCTAATACTATAGTATTTAGCGGATATTTTTCTAACAAAACTATATATAGGCAACTGATCAAGGAAAATTCCTTGCAAAAAACTCCTTTAAAAATGATTTAAAAATAACGTTGATTGGGATCTTGTTTTACAATCGCAAGATGCTAATAACGCATATGATTTATTTCTTAAGCATATTTGAAAACAGTACAAAGGAGCATTTACTGAAAAAAAATGTGCCATTAATAGCCAGTCTCTTTTAACTCCTTGGATGTCCATAGACCTATTTAAATCCTCAACAATTAAATAAAAACTATAAAATATAGTTATATACTATAAAAATTATATTCTTAAAATTATAAAAATCTATTTGAAAAACAAAAAAACACTCTAAAAAAATTTATTATGCAAAATTATTAGAAAAAACAAATAGAAATACTAAAAAATCATATTATTAATGAAATTATTGGAAAAAAACAAAAGTTTAAAAAATATTCAACAAAAAAACTTTTGATTAATAAAAACCTAGTTTATCAAAAGTCTTGCTGAGAATCTTCTAATCTTCTTTCATAATATAGGACCAAACTTAGTTAAAACAATTCCGCTGAGCTCAACAAGTTTTAACTTTATATTTAAAAAGTTATAGTACGCATATAGACGAATCTAATCTTAAAATTTGCGAGTTGTTCTTAATAGCCTTAAGGTGCTAGGGGTGCAAATAGACTACTTTCTGAAATTCATTGAAACATTTTTTAGTTTATTAAAACTGTTAAATACATTATAAGAAATAGTTTGAGACATATAGTAGATACACCTTAGCATATGTTAAGAGTAAAATAAGGCATATATTAAGAGAGGAAAATAAATAATAAACTTCTGTTCATGGCAACTAGGGACGTTGCTATGGGCACTGATGCTACCTAAGAGTGTTTTAAGATGTAAATATGGACTAAGAAATATTTTGTATTGTTTCCAATGTTAGTTGTATGATATATTAAAGAGAGAAATTCTACATTAAAAAAAAATTCTTAAAATCTTTTTTTTGATCATTTGTTTGCATCACTACTACCATAAAAAGAATGAAAGTGCTGGTTTTGATAAAATTAGCGCCAATGTTATAATATATGTATTTGATGTCATTGAAGAATCTTTATTACATGTCTTTAAACTATCTTTAAAATCAGGCGTTGTTCCAGATAAGTTAAAAATTCCCCAAATCACACCAACTTTTAAGAGTGGAGATGCTTCCAACATTTCAAACTACAAACCGATTTCTATCTTGCTTTGTTTTTCAATGATACTTAAGCGTATAATGTACACACAGGCTCTATGATTGTTTGACAAAAAACGACATTATGTATAAAAAACAGATTAGTTCAAAAAAAAGCATTCAGCCAATACCTTTCGTTTCTCTTTAACATTTATAAAAACTTACTTAAAATACTACTTTTAACCATAAAAAGGTGTCGGTTACTTGCCTTTCTTCGTGGCTATGAAAACGAACATATTTAAAGCAGGTGGTCTGGGGCAAGATAATGAACAATTAGAGGAATATTGTGACCGTCCAATAAAAGAATAGATCCAGTTCTGTAAATGATAAGAGTTGTGGCAGTGAGAAATGTTCCTTTTAATATCATACTATTCCCAAGGCCTATAACTATTATATTCTTTCCCCAGGCCGAAATCATATTGCCCCAGTACCAAAAGCTAATGGTTTTTTCATAACCTTAACTCTTCATTTTGATAAGAAAATTTATTATCTTTTTTATAAAAAAATTTATATAAAAATATTTTAATTATATTTTTTCATAAACTTAACAAATTATCATCTTGCCACGGGCGAAATAACAATTTTTTATGGTTGTGAATAAAATGAAATTAACTTTCGTTTATTTACTATAATAAGTAAATTCTAAAATATCTAAAACCATTAAGAACTACTCTAACGTATTCAGGTAAAATTAATTTTACTATGCCTAAAAATAAACTATTAAAAAACAAAAATTGTTAACATCATCTTGCCTCGGTCTCCCCTACATTTCTGTTTTTTTCTTTCAAAATTCTGTTTTTTTCTTTCAAAATTTCAAAATTTTTACTTAAGAAACATTTGAATATTATTTTTGAATAGATCTTAAAAATTCTAACAGCACGTTCTACTTATCAGTTTTTTAGTCTTAAATACATTAGAACTGCATCAAAAGATATTATATAGTATAGTTTAGATATTATATAGATATTATAAAGATATTATATAGCATAGTTTTAGTTTGTTTAAAAAGTCTATTTTGTTTTTTTTGTTTTCAAGGATAGTTTATTTGTTTTAAACCTTTAAACCATTCCGTTTGATTTAAAAACTCTTTGTTAATTATTTTAGACACATTTGAAAAGCCAAAGAGTTGAGTATACATAATTTGCTCTAATGTTTTAGAGAGACAAAAGAGATTTGAAATTGGCCTTAACCTTACAGGATTTAAAAACAGATATAACTCTCAAATTATATCCAATTTAATGCTTGTTTATTAAATATAATATCTTATAAAAACGTTCAGAATATTTACGGTGTGTAAGGGTAGAAAATAGTTCAACTCAGGTAAAAAAAAAAGTAATCAATTAATTACTACTTGCGGTTTAGACTTATAAATAACAAAATCCTGACAACTATTCACGACTAATTTATTCAAATATATGGAAGTTTGATAATTTCCAATTAAAGATTGCGCAGTGTTGATTATGAGAAGGACTGAAAGTTTTTTTCCTTTTTTCATTTGGTTAAAAAAATAGGATAAAATTACGAAAAAAAAAAAAACACACCTGGTGTGCTTTTTTTAGACACAGTGCGCTATGAGACAGAGAGACTTTATGTCGGCTCAATCAAATGAAAACTTTTTTAATCAAAAGTAATTGTCTTACTTGTCTAAATTAATTTTTTATTCACAAAACTTTATAAAAAGCGAAAGAATAGCGACACAATATTACTTAGATGATATCAAACAACTTTATTAGCTATATTTTATTTTCCCTTTTTTCCCAATACAAACCCTATGCTATAAAAAAACTGTCCTCAATACAAACGCTGCTTAATTTTCCTTTTTTTAATTAATAGACAGCTTCAAATCAAAATAACTGGATAAATAATATGTGGATTTGAAAACAACTTAAAAAAATCTTTTTAACAATTTCTTTCGATTAAACAATAAAAACAAAACATCAGGTAATCGTCTCTTTGAATTTGAGCAATTTATTAATGACATACACATGACAACCTAAAAATAAAAAAAGGTATTAATAAAATAGTAATGCAAAGTATATTGAGTTACAAAAACCAATACCAAATACACGTTGGTAATGTTTGAACCAAGACTTAATTAAAATCTTATACAATAACAATTTATTTTTGGTGACATGTCAACTTTCTCAATGTACTAAGTATTTTTTTCTTTTGTTTTAATTTTTTTTTCCAGTTCTTTTAGATTTAAACGTAGACATAATTTTTAATGATTTTTTTTGATATTGTAATTTTTTTAAAATACTTTCAATACTGTGTTTATTTAGACTTTTCAAATTATAAATTTCCACTTTTCACTACGAAAAATCAAATGAAAAGTTAAATAAAAAATTTCTTCTTTTAGTCATTTATAACAATAAATATAATAATAAAAACATACTTAATTTTTTCTTGTCCATTTTGCAGATAGCACCAGGTGTCTGTAATTTTTGCAAGCATTTCAACAACTGATTTAAGTATATGCACAAACATACATATTATATGGTCATTTAAAAAGCATTTTTGAAAATGAAAAACAAACCCAGCTAAAGTAGTCGCAAATGCAAAAACAGTTGTAAAAAATCAATATTTGATAAATGAAATTTAAAACCTTATTGAAGTCGAAAATATTTTGATTGAGGAAAAAGAATGCAAGTATAAAAGAGGATCGAGATGAACTAAGGTTTAGTTGTTTATTACACAAATCTTTGTTTTTATTTCTTAGCTTTACGTATATAAACGTGTAGTTTTTTGTAATTTTCTGCAAATCTTTGATTAAAGTTAATCTCTATAGCCCAATGTAAAACTGTGTAAAATAAGGAGAGCAGAGAAATGCACTATGTTAAAATTTATTTTAATAAAAAACATAAGTTTTATTTATAACTTATTTTAATTTCAAGATAAAATAAAAGTTAAGTAAAAGAATATTAACTAATAAAAATAAAAATAGGAGAAAAATAATGAAATGTGGTACATGGTGATGACCTAAAATGTGGTAACTGATGATGACCTGGAGTGTGGTATTTGGTGATGATCTGGAATGTTGTACAGGTCTTTACTGGTTTGAAGAAGCAAAAATAATGACAAGTTGGATAAGTTATTGAAAGAAATAATAAAAAGTCAACTATAAATAAAAGAGAAAGTTGAAAAAAGTTGAACAATATGTGGAAATAGGGTCTAATGTGGCAGTTTAAATAACATTCAGCATATAGAGACTGTTTAAGAAATAAGTTCGGGTTAAGAAAAAATTTTGAATTATAAAACACAAGATTTTTGCAACCAAACTATGAGAATATTGCAAACATTCCTTATAAACTTAAAAGAAAAAATCATATACAAAACAATAAATTGAAAATAATACTTTAAAACTAAGTTAATAATAATTTTAAAAAACTTTAATATTTTAAAATTATTTATTTTTTAATGGCTATTAAGTAATAACTATTTAAAAAATTTTAATGATTAAATAATATTTTAATAATCAATTAGATATAAAGTAACTTATCAAATATTATATCAATTAGATATAAAGTAACTTATCAAACATCTCCGCTCTCATGAACCATGCATAGCCATAATCTAAATATCTAAATTACATAGGTTTTTTATTATTAATTTGTAGAAAACACAGAATACTAATTTATTCAATTTTGAATAAATAAAAACTAATAAAAAAATCTTTATGCAAATATTCTAATAATAGTTAATATTCAAAAACTGAGGAAAATATTATTGTGAGTTACTGAAATTTATTTACTGATATATATTTACTAAATATACATTTATAAATACTTACTGGAGATAATTTAATAATATGTGACCTAATCTGGAACCAAGGACTCTAAGATGATTATCAATTTTTTTTTATTGTAATTATTAACAAATTGTAGCCCTTAGAATTAGGCTCGAAATTCAAAAATGCTAGTCTGGAATATTTTTTTCCTCATTCAGTGATAATAGAGTTTCTTATTACATACCGTAGGGAATGTCCTTCTTATTATATGCGGTTGGGAATACTAAAATATTTTGTATCTTAAAATAAATCCATTGTCCCAGTTAGGTCACAGTAATTATTTATTTTTACCACACATTTTTAACAGCTATAAACTCAAACAAATTTCTCAATTCTTTTAGACTTTTAACTTTAAAAATCTAATTAAAACTTCTAACAAGATAAGTTTGTATATATATATATATATATATATATATATATATATATATATATATATATATATATATATATATATATATATATATATATATATATATATATATATATTTATTTATATATATATATATATATATATATATATTTATATATATATATATATATATATATATATATATATATATATATATATATATATATACATATACATATATATATATATATATATATATATATATATATATATATATATATATATATATATATATATATATATATATATAAATATATATACATATACATATATATATATATATATATATATATATATATATATATATATATATATATATATAAATATATATATATATATACATATACATATATATATATACATATACATATATATATATATATATATATATATATATATATATATATATATATATATATATATATATATATATATATATATATATATATATATATATATTATATATAAAATCCATGCCAATTAAAATATTTTATTTACTTGATAAATATTAAAACTAAAATATTCTCAAGAACTAAAAAGAACAACATTAAGCTCTAAATAAAAAAGAACCAACAAAAACATGAGAAAAAAATTTAACTTTATTGAGTCTTTATTGAAGCAAGAAAATTTATGTATTTTAAAAATTTAATTTTTATGATTAATGTAACTTTTTAATGATCCCAAAAACCTCAGTTGATTTATATTTTTAAACCTTACTGAATAGTTGGTTCCATTTTATCTAAACTTTTGAAAATTTTTTATTCATAAATATAAACTGATAAAAAATATGTTCTAATCATAACTGCTAAAAAAACATTGCATTACTTTAACTTCTTTCATGGTTTATACGTGTTCTAATCTGGGTAACTGTAAAATTTTCTAATAAACTAGTGTTTTGAAGAACATCGACTATTCGAGTTCGAGAAAGAGGTCCTCCCAAAATTAGATCTTTCCTATGGTTTTTTAAATCATTTAGTTGCTCTGCTGACCAGCTTTTTCTATCGTAACTCAAATGCCTTTTTGTCTAAATTAAATACTATACCTATACATTACATATATACATATATATACATATTTCTAAACTAAAAATTTAAAAAATTAGCTAAATTAATATTTAACAAAACAACCTTTGTGTCTATTTCTGTGGCAGTGCATTTTCTCTTGATGCTTTTTAATTTATCGTACACTTGTCTTGGAGAACATTTAAAACTATTGGATGGTGAATCAGCAAGTGAAGATCTAACTTGGCTGTATGTTATATTTTGATTTTCTGGGAATAGTGAACTTAATAATGAGGTCTCTTCATTACTTCATATTTTTTTTGGAGTATTAAATCTTTCTTGATTATTATTGATTGGAGAATGAGAAATAAAATCAATGTTTGATTTTGATGGTGAAGATTGAAAACTTTTTCTTATTATATCGCTTCCTTTAACAGCTTGGTCCAACTGATTTTGTGTTTCATAATGGACCGCTGCAGTTTTTTTGCTGTGTGCCATGGAAGCTGGCACAATACCTCTCTGTTTATAAAATGGACTACTTTCATCATTTACCATAGTAGATGTTCTTTTCCGAACTATGTTAGCTGATAATTTTTTAGGAATACAACGCCCATCAAAAATACCAGCTTTTTCCCATAAGGAGTTTAATCTGCCACTAATATCTCCGGGGGACATTTCATTTCCAGACCAAGATAAAAAAACTTTCTCTGAATTAATAGTTGGTAACTTTGGTCTAATAAATTTAACAAATATTTCAAACCATTCGAACTCTAATGGATTTAGTGTTACTCGAGCTGGACCATACTTTGAAACGGTTTTGTGATCCCAAACACTTACCACTCGAATGCCATTATCCAAAACTTTGTGTCTTGCATACTCTTCCATGCTCATATGAGCAGTAACACCAGATCTGTGGGCACCACAAAAATGAACAACATAAATCATATGGTCCCTATATGAACAATACTCAAACTAAGATAATGGTTTAGCATTATCAATTTTTAAACAGCCTTGCAGTTCTTTGGCAAATAATGCATTTTTGCTGTTTTCATATTTTTTAATTTGATCTGGTGTAACAAGCATTTCATAGTCATCTTCTGCTTTTTTATATTTTTGTAGATTAGCTTTAGCTTTATTTTTTTTTTCCAATTTTCTATGTTCATAATTGTTTTATAAATATCTTCAACAGAGAGATTAGGCGGCTTATTTTTTGATGCTGAAAGGAATAAACAAAAATCTTTTAATGAATTTAAGTAAGTTTTTATTGAGCCTGCTTCTAATTTTCGCTCAACACAATGTTTTTGAAGATAATGATTTCTTATGATATCTGTATCATTTTCAAAAAGTACATTAACAGATGATGTTGCATTAACAGCAAGTAAAATTCTTTTGACATCCTCTCTAACCCTCGCAAGAGATCTAGAGCTACGACCTCTATCTGGACCTGTGTAAAAATTGTAAAAATCAGATAGCAAAGTTTCAACAGATGAGTTCAATTTAACTTTTGATGACTGATTTGAAATTTCCTCTGTATCAGAAAAAACATAATCAGAGTCATTATCATTGTCATCATTATCATTGCTAACATCATTGTAATCTTCATTTAAACAATATGTAGTTGGGACATTAGATACTCTAGGTCTTAGTTGAGGCAATGTAGAAATTGGAATAGTTAGATTTTCCACATTAGAATGCTGAGGTTTTT